CAGAGGACACATGGACAAAGCCAAAGGGATGCAGCATGGAGAGTAGGAGTTGGGGATAGTAGGGTGGGGGGAAGTTGATGGTGTAAATGGAGACAACTGTAATTGAGCAATGATTAAAATATGAATAATAAAACTACAAAAATACATATCTGTCAATAATTACTTTAAATGCAAATGAATAAAATGCTTCAATCAAATGTCATATGGAGGCTAAATTGATGACAAAAACACACTCCTATATATTTTGTCTACAAGAGACTCACTTTAGATGGAAAGACACAGAGACTGTAAGAAAAGGGACTGAAAAAGATATTTCATGAAAATGGAAACAAACAAAACCTGGGTTAGCAATACTCACCAGACAAAGCAGATCTAAAAAAAAAAAAACACAATAAATAAATAAGCAGCACAGAAACAGATTCAGAGATACACAGAACATTTTGATGGTTGTCAGATGGGAGGGCTATTGGAAACATAAGTGGAAAAGATGAAAGATTAAGAAGTACAGATTGTACTTACAGCATAGTTATGGGGTTATAAAATACAGCATAAGGAATAGTTAATTATATTGTAATAACTATGTATGATGTCAGATGGGTACTAGATCTACCAGGGTGATTACTTAGTTATATAATGTCTAATCATTGGGTTGTATACCAAAAATTAACATAATACTGTATGTCAATTGTAATTGAAACACAAAATATTATTTAAAGTTAAATAAGAGAAAGCATTCATAAGTGAAGTTTAAAATATAACATAGTATGGTTTTCATATAAATTCTGAAGAGCAGAAAGAAAGAAATTATGAAAGGTAGAATAGGACCATATTGTAATAGTCACGAAAGGAGACTTTATTTTCATTTATTAATACAAAGCAACTTTGTTCAGGCTAGTAAATGGATGCTTTAGGTTAAAACATATGAGATATTTAGGAATTGGCTCACCCCAGAAATAAAAAAGACATTTCTGGTTTTATGTAGTATCAGCGTAATGTGAGAAAATAATGAGATGCAGTAGATGGTTTTGAAAGGCAAACAACAGGAGTCTGAATAGACTAATAATAGATAATAGCAGGTTTAGTAGAGTGACCTATGATTACTATTTAAAGTAGTAAAAGGAGGACTTCCACCAAGATGGAGGCATAGGTGGAGATGCTGTGCTTTCTCACACAACCAAGTTTAGAGACAACTAAATATTAGAAACAGAAAACACAGCCAGAACACAGAAAATTGAACTTTTTGGAAGTCTGATAACAACAAATCTTCAGCCTGACTGGTAAGAGGGGTGAAACCAGCAGCTCATGGAGCGGGGTTGCACAGGAAAACTCGGTCAGACAGACTCAGGCGCGCAGAATCCAGGCACAGGGTTGGACCTGGTGGGCAACTCAGCAAGCGACCGCGGGGAAACAGCAAGGAAGCAGGGCTGCGGGTTGACTGTGGTCGCGCATTCTTGTGTGGATAGACAAGCCTGGGAGTGGGCGATTGGACGGGAGCCAGCAGACCCCAGCGGCAGCAGAGGGCGCCGCCATTTCCCCGCTCTGACCCCGCCTCCACATACAGCGTCATAACCCAGCCACTTGGGAGTCCAAGGCTCCACTCCTCATACTTAACAGGCACGAACAGACCAAAAATGGCTCAAGAAGATCTCAAAGCCCCAGAGCCTATAAATCTGAGTGATGAAGAAATAGCAAAACTCTCAGACGCACAGTTTAAAACACTGGTGATCAGGATCCTCACAGAACTGGTTGATTATAGCCACAAATTAGAGAAACATATGAAGGTGAAACTAATTGAAATGAATGGAATTGCACAGGAAACCAATAGCGATGAAAAGGAAACTGGGACTCAAATCAATGGAGTGGACCAGAAGAAAGCAAATAATGGCCAAACAGAAAAAAGTGAAGAAGCAAGAATTCAAAAAAATGAGGAGAGGCTTAGGAACCTCCAGGACATCTTTAAATGCTCCAACATCCGAATTATAGGGGCACCAGAAGGGGGAAAGGAACAGCCACCAGTGGAAAACTTATTTGAACAAATAATAAAGGAGAATTTCCCCAATCTGGCAAAGGAAATAGACTTCCAGGAAGCTCAGACAGTCCCAAAGAAGTTGGACCCAAGAAGAAACACACCAAGGCACATCATCATGACATTAGCCAAGATTCAAATGAAGGAGAGAATCCTAGAAGCAGCAAGAGATAAGGGGACAGTTACCTACAAAGGAGTTCCCATCAGACTGTCAGCTGATTTCTCAAAAGAGACCTTACAGGCAAGAAGGGGCTGGAAAGAGGTATTCCAAGTCATGAAATCCAAAGACCTACAACCAAGATTGCTCTATCCAGCAAAACTTTCATTTAGAATGGAAGAACAGATAAAGTGCTTCTCAGATAAGATCAAATTCAAGGAGTTCATCATCACCAAGCCCTTATTATATGAGATGTTAAAGGGACTTATCTAAGAAAAAGAAGTTAAAAAAAACACGAACAGTGAAAGGACAGTAAACTCACAGTTATTAACAACCACATCTAAAACAAAAGGAAACTAAAAGGACAGCTAGATCAGAAGTAGAAACATAGAAATGAAGATCTCAAGGAGGGTTATCAACAGGGGAGTGGGAGGAGGAGAAGGGGGGAGAAGGTACAGAAAATAAGTAGCATAGACAGTAGATAAAAAATAGATGGGGGGGCAAGAATAGTATGGGAAATATAGAATCTAAAGAACTTGAGACACATGGTCATAAACTAAAGGGGGGGTAATGGTGGGGACGGGGGGTAGGGTGGAGGGGAATGAAGGGGGGGAATAGAACAACTGTAATGGCATAATCAATCAATAAATAATAAAATAAAGTAGTAAAAGAATGATACAATGTCCCTTATTTGAATTCTGGGAAACAGCCTCTCTGGTTTTCATTTCACTCAGACTGTTCCTTCTCAGTCTCCTGTGATGATGAGATTTAATGGTTTACAAGCTTTGTATGAGTGTACTGTCCCAAGACTACTCCTCTCAGACAACCACTCTCTAAGGAGTTAGCAAACTATGACTGCAAAGCAATGGTCCTTGAGCTAAGAATGCTTTTTACATTTTGAGAGGAAAAAAGTAAAAGAGGTAGTAGGGAGGAACAAGGATGAAGAAGAAAGGAGGAAAAAAAGAGGAGAATAAGTAAGAAGAGAAAGGTGAAAGGAGGAGGAGGAGGAACAGCAGGAGGAACAGATGAGGACACATGTGGCCACTAAGCCTAAAATATTTTATTTACCATCTTGTTTTTTGTTTAAAAAAGTTTGCTGACATCTGTTTTAGTAGATCTCCTATAGCCCCAAGCCTTTAATGTCACCTGAAATTAATGCCTTTCAAATGGATACTTCTAGTTTTATATTCCATACTTGTTTTCATCCAATCTCCTATTCAATACACAGACTAGATTTGAACAGTTATCTCAAGCTTCTTGAATCCAAATTTAAATTTTTAATAACTCTTCTATAATCTCCCCTCCATAATTATCTCTATCTCAGTAAACGATATCTTAGTTTACCCAGTTGCTTGAGACAAATCATTAGAGTCAAGAATGAGTCTTCTCTTTCTCTCACATGCTATTATATACAATCTAAGAGCAAATCCTCTGAGTTTCACCTTCAGTATATCTGTACAAATCTGCCATTTCTGAGCACTTCCAACATAGCTTTAGCCACCCTCTTTTCCCCTCTAGAGTACATAATAGCCTTCCAACTGGAATTCCTTTCTTCCTCATGCCTAAGTACTACCCCACTCACCAAAGTTTAGAGAAGTAAGGGAGACTCTTTTAAACTGTAAAATCAGACTTGATGACTCAATCTATTTCCATTTACTAAAACAAATAAACAAAAATCCCCCAAATTTCTCACAGTACTCAAAATAAATTTAATGTATCTACTTTGTCCATGCTACTTCTTATGACATCATCTCCTATCAATCTTCCCCATGACCACTGGACTCCAGCTACATTGGCTTCCTTTCAATTCTTCACTCTGAAAATACATGTCTGAGAAATTCAGCACCTGATGTTTCCTCTGCCTAGAATACTCAGAATCCACATAGCTCACATTTTCACTTTATTAGCAACTCATCTTTGTTGACCTCATCAAAAAAGGTTTTCTCTTTCTTGCCAAATAGTTTAATATATGCCATCATTATCCATCCCCCTCTCCACTGCTTTAACTATCTTTATAGTACCTGTCACCATATCTACACACACACACACACACAAAAGCCCTTGGCCAAGTGGCTCAGTATGTTGGAGCACTGTCCCATACAACAAAAAGGTTGTGGGTTTAATTCCAGGTCAGGGCACATACCTAGGTTGTGGGTTTGATCCCTGGTTGGGGCACATATGATAGGCAACAGATAGATGTTTCTCTCACATCTATGTTTCTCTCTCTCCCCCCACCCCTTCCTCTCTCTAAAAAAGTAAATAAATAAACATATCCACAGGTGAGGATAAAAAAATAAATGCACACACACGTATACTTCATGTCCATCCCTGTAATATATACCACATGATAGCAAGGACATTACTCTTTTAAATATCTAAAAACATAACTGGTTCATAGTGAGTACTCATCATATATTTGTTAAACGAATAAAAAGAAGTACTACATGAAAACACACCAACTAACACAAGGTTTCCAAAGACAACAGAGGGAAGGTAAACAATTCTAAATGCTACACTAACCAAGAAAAATGATCTCAGATGAAGTCAACTGACTTTGAATTATGGGTATAGGTAAACCACTTATAAAAAGTCAAAGAACAGAGGAAAACATTTAGGAGTAAAAGTGACATATGGAGAAATGTGCATATTGTAATGGAGAGATATGGGTTGACTCTCTTTAGTTACTTCCAAAGGTCTGAGGCTATCACAAGAAATTTCTGAAAAGTATTTGAAAGGTGTAAGTATTTGAACTATAAACCAATGGCTTAAGATTTTATTTACTGTAGCTTCCATCTGCTTGTGAACTCATGAACTCACCTGGGTGACATTGGCTTGGAAATCCTTGCTTTAGTATCCAGGGCTCTTCTCCTTGCTCTATCTTGATGATCACTTCTGGCTTAGTAATGCAATACCCTGATAACAACAACAACAAAAAAACCCATACAGCTATAGCTAAATAGCCTGGTTTCAGGGACTCTGAAAAAATGGTGGGTAAGAAAGTTACACCTTAAGGAGCTATTCAAAAGGGCACCCAAGTGAACCAACCCCTGAGGAGGTAAGATGTCAGCATTCTTCATGGTGGCCAAAATGGACTGTTCATCTCAGAGTATTAAATCTCAAGCTTCAAATTAAAAAATTCTACAGGAAGTTCATATGTTTTATCAACTAAGAAATACATGCTACATGTAGTTACATGGAAAAATTCTTACCTACTGAGACGAGGTGGCTATAATTTTCCAGCATCATGTCTCTGTGTAGTATCTTCTGAGCAGGATCCAGAAGATACCACTCTTCCTGGGTGAAGTCCACATATACATCTTTGAATGACACTGGTTCCTGTAAGGGTATATTCTTTTTTAAAAAATATTTTTATTTATTTATTTTTAGAGAGGAAGGGAGGGAGAAAGAGAGGGAGAGGAACATTAATGTGTGGTTGCCTCTCATGCATCCCCTACTGCCGACCTGGCTCACAACCCAGACACATGCCCTGACTGAGAATTGAACCAGCAACTCTTTGGTTCACAGGCTGACACTCAATCCATTGAGCCACACCAACCAGGGCACTGTATATTCTTTTTCTACATGAAGCTGTCAGAACTATATTATGAGAAAAGATGTGACAGAAGTAATCTCTTTAGAGTTTACTAAACATTGTTATACAGGACACCTTTTTTGGTACTATACTATGTAGTATAAAATCTGTACAATTTCCACTAAGGGCCTGGAACTATCCTAGCTGCTACAAATACTATTGATGGAAATATAGTTTCTGTTCTCAAAGTGCTTATGACCTTATAAAGAAACATATATATTATTGTTTATTAAATTAGACATTGTAGGAACTAGCAGTATGCACAAAGTAGATTGGGGTTACCAAAGAAAAGGGTTACCAAGGAAAAGTAAGTTATTTTATATTATCTTTTATTATGTTAACTTTCACTGAGGAAATAAAACTGTCAGTTGTCAAATGAATAGTGGGATTAAAATAAATATGGTGCAGACCCTGACCAAGTTCAACCCATGATTAATTAAATTGACCAGCCCTGCATTTTACCTGCCCACCTAAGAAAAAGATGAATTCTCTCTACTAAAAGAGATACTTTTTCTGGAGCCTCTACTATTTTTTATTGTTAAATATGTTTGGCATCCAATAAAATATTTCATGTTCTGTGAAGAGACAATGACCAAGAAAAAAAATAGACAATAGAAGAAAACTCACAGGGACCCAGACATTTACATTGATAAGCAAAAATTTCAAAATAAATTATGAATATGTTCAATAAAACAGATGAAAATACGAACACAATAAATGAAAAAGTGGGAGTTCAACAGATACATGGTATGTGTGTTGTGCAGAAAAAGATTAATAAAGCAGGCCTGAGACTGTCAAAGCTTGAAAGGTCTGCCACGAGGGGGTCCTTTGGCTAATATCTGGAAACTTGGATTTCAGCATCATTATCTGATAAGAAGGGTTCACTGAACCTAAACTATTTGTGTAAACAATATGGCTTATGTTGTGCATTCCTTCTGGAGTCTGGGATTTTATGTGCTAAACAGAGAGTACCTATGAGACCAGGCCTTGATAAAAACTCTGAGTACTGTCTACTGAATTTCTCTGGCAGACATTTCATGTTTGTTATCACAGCTCATTGATAGAGGAATGAGTGTGTCTTGAAAGAAGACTCTTAGAAACTTGTGCCTAGTTTCCTCTGGTTTAGACCCCTTATGCCTCTTCCCTTTGTTGATTTTGCTTTGTAACCTTTCACTTTAATAAGTCATAACCATAAATACAACTAAAGGCTGAGTCATCCTAGTGAATCACTGAACCTGGGAGTGCTCTTGGATTTCCTCTGACACATGTGTGTATGCACACATGTGATATATAGATTCACAGATACATTAAATGGGCACTCTAAAGCTGTAAAATACGTATCTGAAATTAAGAACTCATTAGATGGGTTCAAAATCATACTACAGAAAGGAGAAACAATCTGAAACATGTATGTATTTAACAAAAGAGTATGAAAATAAATACAACAAAAATGATAGAACTGAAAGAAAAATGGACAAATCATAATCATAGTTGGAGACTTCAACACTCCTCTCTTAGTACTGAGAGATCAAGCAGGCAGAAAATCAGTAAGTATATAAATGAACTGAGCAGCACTGTCAATCAATATGATCTAACTGATTTCACCCAAAATGGTAAAATACACATTCTATCCTTCTAGCTCACATGGAATATTCACCAAGATGGAACACAGTTTAATTCACAAAACACACCTTAATAAATTTTAAACAACAGTTAATTATACAAAATATATTCTCTGACCACAGTGGAATTAAATATAAATTACTGAGCAGTGACAGCTAGAAAATTCCCTAAATACATGAAAATTAAGCAACAGATTTATAAATAACTTACAGGTCAAAGAAATCTCAAAAGAAATTTTAATATATTTTAAATAAAATTAAGAGAAAATACTACTTATCAAAAACGTATGGAATGCAGCGAAAGGAGTAAAGAGATTTAGTGAGCATTACTTCAGCAGTTGGCAGCATGAGCTATCGCTGAACCCAGTGATGAAGCCAAATGCGTGGCCACACTTGTCTAGCAATCAGCACTCCAACAAAGCCCAGGGACCTGGCAGCCTACTCTTAACCTCCTAGAACTCTTCTCCTCACTCTTTGGTGTCAGGCTGCAGAGCACGTTATCTGTAAACTTGAAAACTGTCACTACAGAAACAGCACACTCTGTCTACGGCCATACCACCCTGGACGCACCCGATCTTGTCTGATCTCGGAAGCTAAGCAGGGTCGGGCCTGGTTAGTACTTGGATGAGAGAAACAGCGCACTCTGTGACTAATCCCAGGGTCATGTGGAGGCACAGGAAGAATGACACCAAGGTCCACTAATCTTCATCGCTGGGAAGGCATACCAAAAAAGGAGGTATATAGGTTCCTAGTCTAGCTCACTCACATACTGAGGATGAACTGCCACAGAATCTGGTTGTGGGGGGATAGCACTGGGATTTCAAGGATTTGGAGCCCCACTGCCCACCACACTGCCTCAGGGGGAGACCAAGGTGACCTGAAAATGCAGAATAAGGCAAAATTAAATGGGACTATATCAAACCAAAAAGCTTTTGCACAGCACAAAAAGCCAACTAACCTGTGGGGAGAAAGAATTTGCAAACAGCAGCTCTGAAAAAAATGTAATAACCAGAATATATAAAGAATTGATACAACTCAACACCAAACAATCCAATTAAAAATGGGCGGAGGACATGAACAAACCCTTCTCCCAAGATAATATACAAATGGCCAACAGATACATGAAGAAATGCTCAACTTCACTAGCTATTAAAGAAATGTAAATCAAAACTACAATTAATTACCACCCCACACCTGTTAGAATGGCTATTATCAACAAGGCAGGTAATAACAAGTGTTGAAAAGATTGTGGAGAAAAAAGAACCCTCATTCACTTCTGTTAGGATGTGTACACTGGAAAAGCCACTATGAAAAACAGTATAGGGGGTTCCTCAAATATTAACAATAAAGTTAAAATATGATCCAGCAATGCCTCTTCTGGGTATCTACCCCAAAATTTTTAAAACATTTCTTCACAAACATATATGTAACCCTATGTTCATTGTATCACTATTCACAGTGGCCTGAACATGGAAACAACTGGAGTGTCCTTTGATACAGGATTGGATAGAGAAGATGTAGTACATATATACAATGTAATATTACTCAGCCATAAGAAAATATGAAAAACTACCATTTGTGACAACATGGATGGACCTTTAGAATATTATGCTAAGTAAAGTAAGTCAGTTAAAGTAAGTTAAGAACAATACGATTTCACCCATATGTGAGACATAAAACTGAATGACACAGACGTACACAACAGTATGGTGGTTGTCATTGGGAATGGAGGTGGGTTGTAGTAAAGGGTAAAGGGGGACAAATATTAATGATATATGGTGACGTAAGATGACTTGACTTTGGGCAGTGGGCACACAATGCAATACAAATCATGTATCACAGAAATGTACACTTGAAACATATGAGCTTATTAACCAATGTCACCCCCATTAATTAAAAATAAAATAAATATAAAATAGAATAAAATAAAAAGTACAAACTACCAGTTAAAAAATTAGTCACAGGTTGTAAAGTACATGATAGGGAATATAGTTAATAATACTGTAATAACTATGTATAGTGCCATATGGGTACTAGAGTTATTGTAGTAATAACTTTGTATGGTATATAAATATGTAAGAATTCTGTTGTATACCTGAAACTAATATATTATTTGTGAATTACAATTTAAAAAAATGAAAAATTGGTAACCTAAGTGTAAATAAGAGAAACATTCTAATTAAACCTAAAGCAAGCAAAACCAAAGAAATAATAAAAATTAGATTGTCTATGAAATTAAAAACATGAAAAAATAGAGAAATATCAATGCAACCAAAGCAGCCTCCTTGAAAAGATCAGTAAAATTAATAAACCTCCAGACAATATCACCAGGAAAAAGAGAAAAAAAACAAATTACAAATCTCAGAGAGATAGGTTGACACTATCTGATCCTGAAGGGCATTAAAAGTATTCTCTTAATGAGAATATTACACACAATTCTATTTCTGAAAAATTGATAGCTTAGATGAAATGGACATATTCCTTAAAAGACACAGGTACCAAATGAAAACTACATAACCTAAATAGAACTTTACCTATTTAAAAAATTGAATCAATAATTAAAATAATTCTGAAGTAGAAAGCAGCAAACCAAGATGGTGTCACTATTAAATTCTACTAAATATGTAAGGAAGAAATATTACTAAGTACCCACAATCTCCTCCAGGAAATAACACTTGAGTACTCATTATATGAGACCAATATTACCCTGATAAGAAAACCAGATAAAGATAATATAAGAAAATTAAGACCAGTATCTCTCATTAACATAGATGCAAAAATTTCAAATATTGGCATATGAAACTTCACAATATATAAAAAGAATTATAAACCACAACCAAGTGGAATTTATTCCATTTATGGAAAGCTGGTCAACATTTTTTTAAAAAAATCAATCAGAGGAAGATGGCGGCAAGATAGGAGGGAGCAGATTCCACTTCCCCCAACACATGGGAGAAAAACCTACCTGATCTACGGAAGAGCAGAGCAAACAAACAGCCAACAGTACCCCAGCATATATGAAAATAGGAGACCAAAAATTGTAGTGGATATTGAAAAACCAGATGTGAGAAAAAAAAACCTTGGAACTGTGAAAAGACCAGAGTTGGACCCAAAGAGGGGGC